TGCTCAAAGCGGTACATTATTTTGCATGGAAATATGTCGTTTTTTTTTTTTTTATTGTAGACCTGTAATTTTTAGGAATAACTCACTGAAATCTGTCCGAACAAGAGTCTAGTAAACATCCCGGGTATGATAAAATTTAAAACATGAAATCATAAATTATAATATAATAAATAATTCTAAATAATAATAATATAATAATAATAAATTTAATTCAATAATGTAATCAAACCAAAATCACTGAAATTTTAAATATAGCGCCAAGTTCGCACATCACTGAGCAAAGTCGCTAAATTGTTTTCAGTGTCTGATGACGAATTTCCCCACAAATCATTTTCACTCAATTCTGCAAGTGGTTCTGATTTACTATCGCTGTTCTCTAGCTGGTCTAAAACCGCTTTTTGACATAAAGAGACGCTTTTTGGACGCCATGGACATTTCTCAGTTTCCAGGCAGAAAGAACAGTAAAAATGCAGGCAGGGCGCAGGACAAAGCACTAGAGACAAAATGTATGTGAAATGCTTTGATATAGTAATGTTTTACTATGTGATTTTAGTGTATTGAGTGAATGTAACTTTTTAAAATTTTTTAATTTCCCGCTGGTTCAGACTCCCGTAAGACGGATGGAACGGATGGAACCCGGAAGACAGATGTCGGCATCGGCCGGAGGAGATGGCCGGGGACGCTGCAGGGGAGACATCGCAGGAGCGAAGGACAAGGTAAGTGCAAGAGGGAACCCCAGAGCAACGTTACAGGGTAAGCCCGAGTGTAGCTCGGGGTTACCACTTTTGGTACTGAAAGCTAACCCTGAGCTACACTTGGGAACAGGGTGGACTGACAACTCATGGGGCCCCCGGGCAATAGGGGATCATGGGGCCCCTGTGTCCTTGGCCAAACTCAAAAAAGCCTATGAAAAAGTTACCAGGGGTATCTCATGGGGCCCCCTACTGACCCCGGGCCCTCGAGCAGTGCCCAAGTTTCCAAATGGTCAGTCCGCCCCTGCTCGGGAATACTGCCAGGGAGGTTAAAGACTGCCCACCTGCAATGTACTGCAGACAGGCAGCGGCTACAGAACCAGTGATGTACCTATATGTCGCCGTGTTTTTCCAGGTTTGATGCGTGCATATGCGTCCCCCCCCCCCCCCCCGACCCCCGCCGTCATTGGCTGCAGGACATGTTTGTCAGCAGGTCCCAACCAATGACTTTTTGGCTGGGACTCTGCTGATCTCCTACAGCGAATAGAGAAGCAGAGTTGTGCCTGTGTTTGTAAATACAGGCACAGGATCTACAGTAGCTGGATCATCTCTCCCTGGAACCTTTTCGTTCCAGAGAGAGAAGAAAGACACATCACATGTAAGTCCTCATGCACGCTGGACGTTTTTAAAGCTGTTATTTTTGGCTTTTGACATTTTTTCGGATTTTTTTTACCCCCCCAAATTTTTTTTGGGGGGGGGGGGTGAACGATAAAAACCGTGGAAAAATGCCGCTAATCGCGGCCAAATGCTGCTAAACGCTAATGCAGAAAAGCTGAAAAACTCCCGTTTTTAATGTGACTTTACACAGCTAACATTACCAGCATTACAAACGTCCAGTGTGCATGAGGGCTGAATAGTTAGATGCATATTAAACCCCTTGACTGCCATTTTTAAACCCTTTGATCACCCCAGATGTTAACCCCTTCCTGCCCAGTGTCATTGGTACAGTGTCACTGGAGATGTCAGTGGCATTTAGTCAGTTCCCACCCAGTGTCAGTTAGTGTCAAAATGCCTCCCACAGTCCCGCTATAAGTCGCTGATCGCCGCCATTATTAGTATAAAAATAAATACTAACTAAAAATTCCACTATACAGTATGTACCACCATTTGTAGACATTATAACTTTCATGTAAACCAATTAATATACACTTATTGGAATTTTTTTTTTTTTTTTTACCAAAGACGTAGCAGAATACATTTTGGCCTAATTTTTTTTTTTTTTAATTGGATATGTGTTATAGCAAAAAGTTAAACTATTGTTTTATTTTCAAAATTGTCAGACGTTTTGTTTATAGCGATAAAAATAAAAAATGCAGAGGTGATCAAATACGACCAAAAGAAATCTTTATTTGTGGGGAAAAAAAATGACATACATTTACTTTATGTACAGCGTTGCATGACTGTCAGAATTGTCAGTTAAACTAACGCAGCGCTGCAACAAATGGCCTGGTCATGAAGGGGGAGTATATCCATCCCCTCCCTCCTAGATTGTAAGCTCGAAAGAGCAGGGCCCTCAATCCCCTCATGTTTTGCATTGTATTGGTATTGTTCTGTCACATGTTCTGTCCCCCTTTGTAATGTACAGCGCTGAGCGAACTATTGGCGCTTTATAAATACTGTATAATAATAATAATAATAATAATATCTTCCAAAGGGCAAGTGGTTAAACATGCTTTGGGATTGATTGCATTTCACTACTTTATTTGCTTTTCAATGTTTTAGGGTATATCTAAACCCCAACAGGACAACTTTTTATACTGTTTTTAATTTTTTTTTTCTCCTTGGTAACTCAGTGCTGCTGATCTCCCCCTGTCCCTTTCAGCCACTTCCTGTGTATATGCACGTAGCATCGGCTACACATCAATTTCTGTTTTGGCTTCCTTATGGTGATAATCATGGCCCAAGCCTAAATAGGTTGTCTTAACATGGCAGCTTGTAGTCTCCATCAGGGGCACATGTGACAGGGTGACAACACATTACTGCCACCCCATAACAGGAGGAGCTTGAATAAGGTTCTTTATGGCAGGATACTCAATTCTTTTTTATTGAAAGCAGATTTAAAATATTAAAAACAATATATTTCAATATGTTAAAGCATATGTTGAATGTGATTTTAGGTCTATTTTAAATAACGTATATAGAAAAGTAGATAGGCATTGCTAACGTATTAGTTGTATCATTTGAGAGGTGACATACAATGGGTTTCATTTTCTAATGTACTTTAAAATATTGCCATTCACATAACACAGGTGTGTGACAGCAAAAGGGTTTGCCACACCTGCCACACATACTGTATGCATCACCAAACTGCTGATATTTCTATGCTGAGGGCACTCACTGGGAACTCCCAGAGCAGAGGCCGAGCTGTCAGAGACAGATCACACTTCTACTTACAATTGATAGCCATTTGGACTGGCTTCTAACCATGTGACCACTGTGACAGCCAATCACGTTGGTCACATGATCGCAGATCTTTCTTGCCCACAGGCATTCAGAACCTTAAAGGGATTTTGGGGCAGGAGGTGGGAAGTTAAAGAATATCTGTGTATTTTTTGCTTTGTTAGAAGATTTAATTGCAAGATTAGAGTAGCCTGTGCTTACATTAGCATGCATCTGTGCCCAAAGTGGTAGCATATTGTGACTGTAATAGGTTTATATATGTAAGTTTAAAGCATATGTCAAAGTAAAAAAAAATGTTTTTTTTTGATAGAGTGGGGTAGGACTAGGACACCTGTCAGGTTTTTAGTGCTATCTGAGACTCTATGAGGGCTCGTTCACACATGCAGTGCCCTCTGAAGAGCAATCTGCTTTGGATTGCTTATCTGAAGTAATTTGACAGGCGGTGAGGAGGCTCGCTTCACCACCTGCTTTTTTTTTTTAAATTTTACTATTATTATTATATCTTTTATTAAATTTTTCCATTACAAAAAATCATCATTGTACCAATACAATTCACATATACACAAATTCCACGGAAATTAACCTATTCCCTGCCCATCCTGCCCTCCTTCTACCCCCCCCCCCCCCCAGTTCAATTACCCCTGTCCATATGCCATATTCTTTACTTCTAATTCCTCCTATATTTTTCTGTCTATATCTAAGTCCCTTCTATACCCCCCTCTCTCTTTCGTTCACTAAACCCCCCCAGAGCTACTCGATCGATTGTACTCTCTCTAAGCTTTTCACCTTATACTCCTACCACTTCCAAATAGCTTTTGGATATTTTACCACCTGATTTAAACCTGTAAATTCTTCACTTCTGTACTGCAAGTGAGTGCATTGCGGGTGGTTATGAGGCTGTTGCTGCATGGTTATGTTTGGCATCAGTAATACCGCCGAGTGTGACATGCTGTTTAATTTTGCCATGGCTGCAAAACATAACATCACGAATGTGACATATGTACAGTTCTGAGCAGCTGCATGCCCAGATTCAGATGGGTAGTTGGGTGGGTAAAACCACAGCTCAACAGCCTGATTTTACAGCTCACTAAGCACACATGTGAACAAAGCCTATGAAGGATTTTTCTCTGTCCCTGTGACAACAGTTTCTCCAGAGAGGAAGTGCAGGAAACTCTCTGACAACAGGGGAAAAAAAAAACTTTTTTAATGTAAAGGAAAGCTTGTACCCTTGTCAGTTTTTATTGCTATCTGTGATTCTGTTGCAGATTTCCCTCCCCTTCCTGTCTTGTAAAACCATTGGCACTGTGACATTAAGGGTTCATTTGGACTTCTGGTTGGGGGAGGACACTAAAAACGCTTCTGATCCACATTTTTGATGACCGCTTTAACCACTTGCCCTCCAGAGGATTATTATTATACAGTATTTATATAGCGCCAAAGGGTATGCTCAGCGCTAATTTACCCTCCTTCCTGACCAGTCCATTTTTTTGTGATGCTACGCTTCATTACTTTAACTGACAATTGCGTGGTCATGCAAGGTTGCACCCAAATGAAATTTATGTTCTTTTTTCCCACAAATAGAGCTTTCTTTCAGTGAAATTTGATCACCTGTACGTTTTTTATTATTTTGCGCTATAAACAAAAAAAACTGACAATTTTGAAAAAAAAGCAATATCTTTTGACTTTTTGCTATAAAACATATCCAGTAAAAAAATTTAAAAAAATCAAAATTCTTCATAAATTTCTGCTACATGTCTATGCTAAAAGAAATCCCAATACGTGTAAATTATTTGGTTTGCGTGAAAGTTATAGCGTCTACAAATGACGGTGTATATATACTGGAATTTTTTTTTTTATACTAATAATCATGGCGGCATTCAGCAACTCATAGAGGGACTGTGGGCTTGTAGTGGGCATTCGGACACTGGGGGGGAACTGACAAACTGCCACTGACATCCCCAGTGACACTAATATTGTGATCAGTGCTAATATAAAGCACTGACACTGTACTAGGAACACTGGGCAAGAAGGAATTAACATCTGGGGCAATCAAAGGGTTAACTGTGTGCTGTACTGTGTTTTACAACATGTGTGCTGTGTGTGTGTTTTACTAGAGAGACAAGCTGCTGTGTATTTCTCTCCTGTGAGAGAAATACACAGCAACATGTTAACACTGGCAGGAGAGAGATTGCTGGCAGGAGAGAGAATCTCCATCTGGGACACGGTGATTGACATCCGTAGACACCAATGGCGGTGCGGGTAGGGCGGCCTACGCACGTGCCCCCTATCCGGTAATGCAAATCACGAGTTTTCCCAGCCCTGCCACCCTGTAGCAGTATTTCTGCTATAGGGCAGAGGGCAACTGGTTAAGCTGCAAAGGCAGTGAACAGGGATGTTGACATGCCATGGTTGCAATGCTTTGCTTTGGCACACAGCACAAATGATCGTTCCTGCTGCGTTCCGTGGAAAGCAAGTCTGACGAATGTGACACATTCAAGCAATAGGGAAGTGCTGCAAACCCCTTGCAGTCGCATACAATGCATGTGGCAGGGGTGGACTGACCATTTGGAAACTCGGGCACTGCCCGAGGGCCCGGGATCAGTAGGGGGCCCCATGAGATGCCCCTGGTACCTTTTTCATAGGCTTTTTTGAGTTTGGGCAAGGACACAGGGGCCCCATTATCCCCTATTGCCCGGGGGCCCCATGAGTTGTCAGTCCGCCCCTGGTAGTAGGCATTGTATGCATTGGTGCGGCAACTACAGGGTTAAAAAGTCAGTGAGGAGGCATCACATTGCTTCCTCACCACCTGTCAAATGTCTCTGAAAAGCGAGCCGAATGTGTCGGTTTAAACACAAGTCTACACTTAGCCTAAAGCCTACAACACACCATTAGAAAATGGGACGAAAATATCCATGTTCGAAAAATAGTTGGATTTTCTGTTTGTTAGTACGCTGCTTTCAGGAGCCGATATGGACTGTTCAGGCAAAAATTTTCTAAAATGAAGACTAAGGCTAGGTTCACATATGTGCAGGTGGTGACGCTGCAGATCCGCACACAAATCCGTGCAGCTGCACCACCCACACATAAGAATTAGGACCCACAGGCGGGTGCCATTAATTCTAATGGCACGCCGCCCACACTGGAAATCGCAACCGCACTGGGAACCGAGGTTCCTGTTCGGGCTGTTGTTTCCAAAGAAGTGCAGGGGCTCCTTCCCTGCATGTCCCGGGGCACGGGAATCCATTCAAATGAATATGCTCTTGTGCCCGCACAAAACGCGCCCCCACAGGAACTCGGATATGTGAACCAGGGGTAAAATAAAGGACCATATTGGAAAATGTTTTATTTTAAGTTATCATAACTTTCTATTTTCATTTAATTAGTACAGTATTACAGTATTTGTCCTAGAAAAATATTGATTGTGCAAGTCCCTGCATGATTGGAAACAAAGTATGATCATACACATTGTAGCAATATACGTGGGAAGTTGCCCTCTGTCGTTCAAGAATTTTTGTACCATTTTAGGCATTCTCACTTTCAACATGGGACAGGGACACAGAAAAATACAAACAATCATTCATCCAATTTTCTAACACTGTGTACTATTCTTAAGTCACATATGTTACAAACCGATCTCTGTACAATCTTCTTTATAGCCTAAACAATCCAATGCAGTTATTTTCAATCCTAAATATTCTCCCAGCACATAGTTGTAGATAAGTCTAGAGCAGATTGTACAATCTGACTGCACCATGTATGGCCTCTGTTGTTGGCTTCTCCTTTTGCCATCTTTGGGTTCCTCTTATCAGCAGACTTATGAGGACCACAAAATGCTCTGAAGATGATCTTTGTACACAGCTGGAAGTAGTTATTAATGCCAAGATTTCAGGACAGATGTTCCCACCCACAGAACTATCGGAATGCATCCGAGTCATTTGGAAAACCATAATAGCCCAGACAGTAGACAGCAAAGGAAATGATAATGTGAAATAGAGCATCATTTTCATACTAGAATTGGTCTAATCAAAAAGCTAATTATGTATAATGGCCATACAATATGTGTTTAGATTGGTAGTTATTGAAGGAAAGGAAGTATGCCCGGTCTACGATGATAAACACCTTCCGTTCATAGCAGAGCACAGTTTAATCATATGCAACCATTTATGTTCAGTCCAGAACCAAACCACATAACAAACAAAGGAATCATTGCAGGAGGAAAACATGGTATACCACATTTACTGTACCCATCATGCATTATATTACGGAGGGATCCGAAACAATATAGAAATACTTTACTCTGAGCTTTAGACAAACTTTGCCAGCTTAGAACAAAGTGAAAAGCTAAAGGGAATCTTTTTGATAAGCGTTAGCATGTTAAAAAAACACGATTATGTCCCAAATATGGATATGGATAGATGAATCCCTCCTGTTTGGATATTGTATTTGCCCGACTGTCAGAATTCCAAAAAAGTGCCTGTAGCTGATTGACTGCAGACACTTTTTGGTCAACTACTTTTGGCCCACTCCAGTCGACAATTGAGTAATTGACTTTTCTCGGGCTGGTTAGGATTTTACCCAATTCCTCTGAATCAGCCAAAATTCCAACAGTGTATGGCCAGTTTTAGTTATTCATATAAGGTACCTACTTTATCTTCGTATTTTTTTTGTGAATGTAATATGATAACTGTGTAAAGCTGAAGAACATATTCCAGTTATGATGCTATCCAATCCAATTTAAGAAATTTATTTGACCTTTCCATGACAGTCTGAAAGTTAAAGTAGTTTTAACCACATGCACTCCTGAGGATTTACCCCCCTTCCTGACCAGGCCATTTTTTGCGGCGCTGCGTTACTTTACCTGACAATTGCGCGGTCATGCAATGCTGCACCCAAACAAAATTAAGTCCTTTTTTCCCATGAATAGAGCTTTCTTTCGGTGGTATTTGATCACCTGAGCATTTATTTTCTGCGCAATATAAAAACAAAAAGACCAACAATTTTGAGAAAAAAAACAATATTTTTGACTCTTTGCTATTAAACATGTCCAGGAAAAAAATTTCAAAAATCTAATTTTGTCATAAATTTAGACCAAAATGTATTCTACAACATGTATTTGCTAAACAAAATCTCAATAAGTGTAAATTAATTACCGTTTACAAATGGTGAAATATATACTGGGATTTGTTTTTACTAGTAATGGTGGCAATCAGCGAATTATAGCGGGACTGCGGCAGGCATTCTGACACTGAGGGGAACTGACTTGGTGTCACTGATATCCCCAGTGACACCAATACAGAGATCAGTGCTAAAAAAAAGCACTGACACTGTACTAATGGCACTGACCAGGAAGGGGATAACATGTGGGGCGATCAAAGGGTACTGTGCACAGCCGTCCAAAGCAGTGTGCACGAGCTGACAAGAAGGAGAACTGTATTGTTTACCTACAGTTCTCCTCCCCATCGGAGATGCACATGAATCAAAGGGTGCCGGAGAGTAATCACCAGCCAGAACCCAGTGATTGACATCCACGGCCGCAAATGACACATGCGTGCGCGTGCCCCCCACCCGGAAATGCAAAATCACCTTTATAAACATGATTTTACGCACCCGTGCTGCCCTGTACAAGTATATCTGCTATAGGGTGGTCATGAAGGGGTTAAAGCATTTTTTAAAAATAACAAACATGTCTACACTTACCTGCTTTGTGCAATAGAATTGCACAGAGCGGCCCCAAAACCCCACCTATGGGGTCCCCCACTGGAGTGCCTGGCTCCTCCTTTCTGGCCTAGTGCCACTTCCCATGGAGGCACTAGTGCCTGAACCCCTCTGCTGCGTTCCTTGACACAGACAGCGAGACTCGGCCCCACCTCCCTCATCACTAACTTTGATTGACAGCAGTGGGAGCCAATGGCTGAGGGCTGAGGACAGTAATGAGGTCACTGAGGACATTAATAGAGGGGGGATGAGGACCAGCCCTGGACTAGGACAAAAATAGGCCCGGGCATTTTAGACTGAGCAGCCAATTTTTCCCGGGGGGGAAAGAGACATCCCATACAATAAAGAGACATCTCATCCAGCAAAGAGACAGCCCAATCCACTGCGAGACTGGCTGCGAGCCGGTGAAGGAGAGAGGGCCCGGGAGGTGTCTGTGTATCGCCTGAAGGCACTTCCTGTTTGCAGCTGGAGCCATCTCTGCCTTTCCTCCTGTCGGCCCTGCTTTAGGCATAGCCACATAGTATGAGGTGAGCGGCGGCGGTGTTAGCCCTTTCCAGACCGTAGTCACCTCTTACCTCCCGCCGTGCGGCCTGATCATCAACAGAACTGAGGACAGTAATGGGGTCACTGAGTGCATTATTGGACTGGGGCTGAGGACAGTAATAGAGGTTTTAAGACAGTAATGGGGGGCTCAGGAGATTAACCACTTCCCCTCCGGCCGCTGTTTATGAACGGCGGGACGGGACACCTCCAAGAGCCATTTCTGAACAGCGTGCTGCATCTGAGGCTTGTGCGCGGCTCCTAGAGCGCGCACCGGTGAGCCTGATGATCGCCGAGTCCAACGAAATCGGTCCTATACCATGTGATCAGCTGTGTCCAATAAGGGCACAGTCTAAGTAAACAAAAGTCGCATGGTGCGGCTTCCACCTTCTTCTCCTCACACGGAGTTCTGTCTGTGAGAGGAGAAGGAGCAGATAGCAAGAGAACTAACTGCCCTCCGCCTCAGAGACACCTGATCGCCCCACAAGTGGCCCTGATTGCCCCACAAGTGGCCCTGATTTCCCCACAAGTGGCCCTAATTGTCCAACAAGGGGCCCTGATCGCCCAACAAGTGGCCCAGCAGTGGCCCTGATTGTCACAGTGTCCCTAATCGCCACATAGTGACCCAGCAGTGTTCCTGATTGCCACACAAGTGGCCCAGCAGTGTCCCTGATTGCCGCAGTGTGTCTCTGATCACCACAGTGGCCCAGCAGTGTTTCTGATCACCACACAAGTGGCCCAGCAGTGTCCCTGACCACCGCACAGGTGGTCCAGCAGTGTCCCTTATCACCGTAGTGTCCCTGATTGCCGCAGTGGCCCAGCATTGTCCCTGATCGCAACACAAGTGGCTCAGCAGTGTCCCTGATCGCCACACAAGTGGCCCAGCAGTGTCCCTGATCGCCGCAGTGGCCCAGCAGTGTCCCTGATTGCCACCCAAGTGGCCCAGCAGTGTCTCTGATTGCCACAGTTGCCAAGCAGTGTCCCTGATTGCCACACAAGTGGCCCAGGAGTGTCCCTGATTGCTGCACAAGTGGTCTAGCAGTGTCCCTGATCACCCCAGTGTCCCTGATTGCCTCAGTGGCACAGCAGTGTCCCTGATCACCACACAAGTGCTCCAGCAGTATCTCTGATCACCGCAGTGGCCCAGCAGTGTCCCTGATTGCCACCCAAGTAGCCCAGCAGTGTGCCTGATGGTCGCAGTGGCTAAGCAGTGTCCCTGATTGCCACACAAGTGGCCCAGCAGTGTCCCTGATCACCGCACAAGTGGTCCAGTAGTGTCCCTGATCACCATAGTTTCCCTGATCGCCACACAAATGGTCCAGCAGTTTCCCTGATCACCGTAGTGTCCCTGATTGCTGCAGTGGCCCAGCAGTGTCCCTGATTGCCAGACAAGTGGCTCGGCAGTGTCCCTGATCACCGCAGTGGCCCAGCAGTGTTCCTGATCGCCACACTAGTGGCCCAGCAGTGTCCCTGATCACCGCAGTGGCCTAGCAGTGGCCCTGATCACCACAGTGGCCCAGCAGTGTCCCTGATCACCGCAGTGGCCAAGCAGTGTCCCTGATCGCCACACAAGTGGCCCAGCAGTGGCCCTGATCGCCGCAGTGTCCCTGATTGCCACACAAGTGGTCCTCCAGCAGTGTCCCTGATCACAGCAGTGTCCCTGATTGCCACCCAAGTGGCCCAGCAGTGTCTCTGATCACCACAGTGGCCAAGCAGTGTCCCTGATTGCCACACAAGTGGCCCAGCAGTGTCCCTGATCGCTGCACAAGTGGTCCAGCAGTGTCCCTGATTGCCTCAGTGGCACAGCGGTGTCCCTGATCGCCACACAAGTGGCCCAGCAGTGTCCCTGCTCATCGCAGAGGCCCAGCAGTGTTCTTGATCGCCACACAAGTGACCCAAGAAATTAGATGTGTAATTTTTGCCCTTAGAACGCTAACAGGTGCTTATTGGATGTGGAGCCCCTCTATGTGACCAGACTGTGAAAAAGTCTCACACATTTGGTATCGCCATATTCAGGAAGAGTTAGAGAATGTGTTTTGGGGTGTAATTTTAAGTATGCCTATGCAGTGTATTAGAAATATCTCATAAGATTGACAACTTTGCGTAGAAAAAAATACATTTTAATTTTCTTTTCATATTTTCCAAAAACTTGTGGCAAAAACAATAAGTCTTCAGAGGACTCCCCATGCTTCTTAAAACATACCTTGGGGTGTTTGCTTTCCAAAAATGGGGTCATTTTGTGGATAATTCAACTGTCCTGATGTTCCAGGACCTCCAAAATGGCAATAGGTAGTCAAGAAATGAGATGTGTAATTTTTGCCCTTAGAACGCTAACAGGTGCTTATTTGATGTGGAGCCTCCCTATGTGGCCAGACTGTGAAAACGTCTCACACATTTGGTATTGCGATATTCAGCAGGAGTTAAAGAATGCGTTTTGAGGTGTTTTTTTAAGTATGCCTATGCTGTGTAATAGAAATATCTCATAGATTGACAACTTTGCGTTGTCAAATTTTCATTTTCTTTTCACATTTTTCCAAAAACTTGTGGCAAAAAATGAAGTCTTCAGAAGACTCCACATGCCTCTTAAAACATACCTTGGGGTGTTTGCTTTCCAAAATGGGGTAATTTTGTGGGTAATTCAATTGTCCTGGTGCTCCAAGACCTCCAAAACTGTGATAGACAGTCAAGAAATTAGAAGTCATTTTTGCCCCTAGAACGCCTAAGGGTGCTTATTGGATGTGGGGCCCTTCTATGTGGCTAGGCTGTGAAAAAGTTTCACACATGTGGTATCACCATAATCAGGAGGAGTAGCAGAATGTGTTTTGGGGTGTAATTGCAAGTATGCCTATGCCGTGTGAGAGAAAGAACTTGTTAAATGACAACTTTGTGGAAAAAAAAATGTTTAATTTCATCATTTCCCTCAAAAATTGGCAAAAAATTACAATGTTAAAAAACTCCCAATGCCTCTCATTAAATACCTCAGACTGTCTACTTTCCAAAAAGGGGTCATTTGGGGGGTATTTGTACTGCCCTGGCATTGTAGGGCCCCAAGAAATTATATAGGTAGTCAGTACATCAGGATTGATACATTTTCAAATATATACACCGTGGCCTGTGGACTCTATAACTTTCACACAGACTAAATAATACACACTGATTTGGGTTATTTCTACCAAAAAAATGTAGCACAATGGATTTTGGCCTAAATTTATGAAGAAAGTATATTTATTTGCAAAATTTTGTAACAAAAACTAAGAAAAACATGTTTTTTTTTTTAAATGTTCATTCTTTTTTCATTTTTCTAGCAAAAAATAAAAACCCCAGTGGTGATTAAATACCACCAAATGCAAGCTCTATTTGTTTGAAAAAAAAAAAGATAATAATTTAATTTGGATACAGTGTCGTATGTCTGAGTAATTGTCATTCACAATGTGAGAGCGCTGAAAGCTGAAAATTGGCCTGAACAGGGAAGGGGGTGAAAGTGTCCAGACATGAAGTGGTTAATCAGGGAGATCATTATTGGTGGGGGTTGAGGACAGTAATGGGTCACTGAGGACAGTAATGGATGGAGATATTAATGGGGGGGCTGAGGGCAGTAATGGGGGGTTTAAGACAGTACTATGGGGGCTAAGGATAGTAATTTGACAGGGTGTGATTGTGATGTGAAGGGGGGACTAAGGCTGCTGAGGGGTTCTGAGGATTGTCGTACGAGACTCAGTTCAGAACTGTGCATTTGCGCGCTCACATTGTGCGTAGGACAGCCCACTAATTTCAATGGGCCCTACCTGCAAGAAACACAGAAGTCCCAACCTTTTTTTTAACTGCCCAACACCAAGCTGCATTGGTTTGGCTTGGCATGCAATAAAATGTACTGTAGGTGATGATGTGCTATTAAGAAGTCAATGTGTAAGTGTGTGACAGCTCCAGGCCACACAAAGTCTGTCACACTGTAGGGGGGTCACTGATGTAAGAGGGGACACTGATAAAAAGGTTTCCCCATATATCAGTGTCCTCCCTCCCCTCTTACATCGGTGAACCCCTTTACCTTACTGTATTCACTCTGCAGACTCTGGTGTAAAGGGAAATCTGATGTAAGAGGTTCTCTGGTCACCAGAGCTTCCCCCCTATATCAGAGTTCCCAGCATCCCTCCTTATATCAGATTAGGCAGACTTCACCCTTACAGTGTAAGGGGAAACTTTGTGGA